TTTCTCAAAAAGAGCGAAAACGGTGTCAAAATCCTACAAACCTCTGTTTAAAGTTAGCATTCGTTGAATATTTTTATTAAAAATATCTAAATGTAAATGTTATGAAACAATGAAGTATTTAGATATCTACTTACCGGGTTGAGCAGTCTGCGTATAGATTATAAAGTTGACCAACAATATCGACCAACACCGCTTTGCCTGCATCCTCACATCGACCAAAGCCTTCCTTTACGAATTAACTTACTCTTTACCCTAGAAATTCGCCAATCGATCCAACGATTGCCGGATAACCACGGAGATAAGTGCTTTTCTAGGTTAGATGATCTTTCGGTGGCCTTCAGCCCCAAGATAAACCAGGCAGACAATTCATTTGCTTGTTGTCAATCTGATGGCACAATACTGACGTAGTGCCAAATAGCGAATTATTATTGGGGCATTCCAAAGGAAACGCCCGAGTTGAAATTCCAGAAACGCTTTTTTTTCGTTGGGTCGCAAATCGCAGTCAAGTCCTCGTCACGCATGCACAACCTTTTGACTCTGACGCATGCGTGACGTTTTGACTAATGAGCACATGCGGAGCAAAATGGGCACAGACACTGTGTATAATACGCTCAAAACGCATACAAAATATGCACACATCGTTCGCGGTAGAGCCACACTAAAAGATGTCGAGCGTTTTCCGAACGGATTGGTCCGTGAAACTTGTGAGAGATCTCTTTATTAGCGAACATTTATGAGTGAACCTTTCATTGAGAAACATGCGATATCAACTGAGCTATCTAATGTTAATCGAGAAAAGCATAGACGCAAATCTCATCGTGTATTTAGACGTGATCGTGAACCAAGCAGAATACCAATACGAAGTTTGAACAGGTTAAGGAACAAGAGCAGAAAGGTTAGAAAATTTGTCTATGCCCGTATTCTCTCATGTATCCCCATGTCATCTACATTGTACTGTTATGTTAATGCTAAAAATAATTAAATGAAAGGACTTTTAATTTTAACTGTCGTGAAAGAATTCGTCAAAGTATAAGAAAGGTAAAATATCGTGTCAGTCGATATTTAACATTGTTTTCTTGAAACAAACTGATGTGTTCTTACAAGAATGAGGCTGAATGTAGCAAATTATTGCAACTATAAATTAAAGGGATACTCCCCACCAAATTTTACCATTTAGTTAAAATGTAGATCTTTTGTCAAAATAACTACTGAAAGAAGAAAAAGTTCCCTAAAACCTTTCATTCGGTTAAAATCCTAGCTGTAAAAGCGCAAAATTCACTCAATTCGAGGACAGGAAGTTGAACTGGCTCTTTTTTAAACATGTGATCCATGACGTAAAAGGAGAACTGAAAAACATTTAAGCGATCGTAAAGAAGTTCGACTCTAATGATTCGAGTTGTTCTTCTTCGAGTTCATCTTCGATGATCGAGAGTGCAGACGCTCAAGCAACGCAACTATATTTGTTTGAGCCTTATAACAGTGAGGCTAGTTCTGACTCCTCGAATGAATCAGATGAGGCCGATCCATTCGAGCGATTACGAAACACAGACTGGTAAGCGATTTCAGTGAGTTACAATTTTCGCCTTTTGGCGAAATCTCTTCGTTTGTCACTTCACAAAGTGAAGTGATCATTAGATTTGAGACATGTAGCAGTTTTTAGCCTAAAAAATGCAGGACTTCAACTTGAATAGAGCGGCATTTGTTGTTGACACAATAAAGCTATTCTCTCACATTAGCAGTGTATGTCACATTTTTCTTATCGATTCTTAGGCTTGCGTAATTCCTCATACCTTTACCTCTTTAGCTGTACTATTGAAGCTGATGTTCGAAATTTTAGGAGTCGGTGTGGAAATTTTCAGGGACTGAATCGAGTTCTCGAATGTGTTTGCTGTCGCGAAATCGACTGTGTTGTTGCCAAAAATAATGAAGCAATCGAATCAGAAGGACTGGCCGAGCCACCACACAGCACCCTGGGTTCAATCAATGAAGACAGGTTTATATTTCTTTTAATACATACCCTTGTAGCTTCCCGTTTTCTGTATGCTCCTCGCAATTGTTATCGATTTTGTTTTGATGATCCCGCGCTAGTCTCATCAACTTGTGAAGATAAAAGGTTTTTTCTTCCGCGAGCCTTTGTTTCTTTTTTTACAGGCGGATTAGTATCAAACATTGAGGGAACGGCGTTGTATTTTAGAAGGGCTTTCGTCTTTAAACCCATAGATTTCGCTAGAACTGACTGTTCCTCAAAAGAATCGGTAGCGAAGTGAATGCTGCACAGACAGCTAGAGTTTATTGGGTCCACAAAATCGGATCGCGTATTTTTCACGGCTCTCGTCCATAAACTGGCGAAATGAGGATCTTCAGGCCACTTATGAAGGCTTACTCCATCGCTACGTGTATTGGAACATCCACCGGCCACACATCGTTGCGACATTATTGTATTTTTGTAGCGCGTTTTCGATTCTGAAGAAGTCCCGGTGCTCTTGTTAACGGAAGTTGAATGAGTTCTCACTTCTACGTCACTTCCGTTTGTAGGCTCAGCTCCTACACTCGGACCGCGCGTTAAGGAAAGTTTCTAATTTAACGAAAACTAGAGAAGATTTACATTTTTCACAATATCTGTTTTATTTAAGTTATTATCCGTCTTTTCTCAAAAAGTTATTACAGGCTAGATAGTATCCCTTTAGTAGATAGTAGTCAACATATGTTAACCCTAACAAAACAACAGTAGCTCCATATAATCAAGGTAACGAGTTAGTTTTTGGAAAGAATGCAGGACAGCAAGGTGTTGCAATGAGTTTGTGTTCTTTGATTTACAATAACACACGAGGGATCAGATCTGCAAATGATCTTATACAAATAATGAATATTGGAGATCAGCTGTATTCAAGTTTGTCACGATTAGCCAGACAGGCCTATTTAATACAGCCAGAATTACCAACAGCATTAACCCTTTAACTCCCAGAAGTGATTAACATAAAACTTCTCC